ATTATAATATGTAATTATAGTTATCTCTGTGTCTTTTTGCTCACCTTGATTGTAAGCTTTATGAGGACAGAGACCCTCTTTTAGCTTAAATGTGTCTTACCAAGCTTATCCCTGTGCTCTTTACATTGTAGGTATTTGCCTAGTAAATATTTGCTGATTCTAAATAGGATGTAAGTGTTTCAGTTGGACTTGGCAAGATTTTATTTTAAAATCCCTTGGCTGGTCACAGCAACACCTTGGTGCAGTGATGGAAGGAAGAAAGGGAAGGAGAGAGATAGGGAGGAAAAAGGAAGGAGAAAAAGAAAGAGGAAAGAAAGGAGGTAGGGAATAAAGAAAAAAGAGGGAGGGGATAGAGGGAATAAAGAAGGAAGGAAGGAGGGGATAGAAAGAAGGAAGGGAAGGAGGAGGATAGAGAGGGAGGGGAAAGGAAGGGAGGAAAGGAAAGAGGGAAGGAATAAAGAAAGGAGGGAGAGGATGGAGAGGATAAAGAAGGAAGAGAGGAAGGAAGGAAGGAAGGAAGGAAGTTAAATGTGATGACAGACTCATAGAAGAGGACAGGACATCCTCTACTGGGTCATCTGGGGTGGGTTTGTGAAAGACATTTCTAGATTGGAATGAGAAGGATCCAGACACAAGGTGGGGCCTGGAGGGCACCCAGCTGGCATTGTAGGGAGCTGGAGCCCAGCTTTTGGAGAGACCAAGGAGCCTTGTGGATATTCCTATCCTCTCCCATGGATCTCAATCCATTCTTCCCTGCAGGGAAGGACTGGGTTACTGTGTCTAACTGGGAAAATTTGGTAATATTGAAAAACAATCATAAATAGGAGTGAACCACAGACCCTGGGTACTATCTTTTAACAGCTCTCCAGGTTGGGGCCAGGGCAGAGACCCCAAGATGTGGCATTATAGGTCCAGAAATCCCCCTTCAGCTCTAAAATTCTCAGAAAGGACTATGAAGGGAGATCTGCTTAGTTCAGCCTCACTTCAATCCCCTCCCACCAGAAAGTGTCTTTTGTCTGCCTCTAGAACTGCTAACAAGGGCTAAGGAGCGATTAGGGTTTCTACCTGTCTGGGCATCAGGGTTGGCTGGGTTGACCTGTTACTCCAGAGCTCTGAAAGAGAGGAGGGGACCATGTTATTGCTGTTTGGTGAGATTGGTAATAAACCTTCTTCTCCTGCCACACCTGAGAGGATACCAGCTGAATCTAATTCTACCTTCTGAGTATACCTATTCTGATCCTGAAGGGCTACATTTCTGGAGGAGGTGGGGAATGGAAATAATCTCAGGTTCCCACCATCAAGTTGTGATAATTCTATCAGGGCTGACAGAGGCACGTCAGTCTCAGACCACACCCTTCGGAGACTGGCAGCTATGCCTCCCCAAAGCTAATTTGTCCAAAGAGAGAGTGGGGCCACCTCCTCCTAACTATCCTACCACATTCCCTGGTACTGAGTTGGAATTGGAGTTGGATGTGACTTCAGAGTTTATTTAGCCAAGACTCCCCATTTTATAAATGGGACAACTAAAGGACAGAGACTGGGGCTGATACTACCAGCTCACATTTTTAGGGCCGCAAATGCTTTACACTTCATCTGATCCTCACAGCAGACCTTTGAGATAGGTGGCAGCCAAGGCCTAGAGAAGTTAAATGCTTTGTCCATCTCCTAAGTCTCTGAGGTATCATTTAAATCCAGATCTTAATGGCTCCAAGTCCTGCACTGTGGCTTAGCTGAAGTCATATAGGAAGAGGATGGCCTCAATGACACCTAGGTTGTGAGCCTGAGTGACCAGAAGAATAGTGGCACCCTAGACAATTATAGAGATCTTAGCAAGAGGGGAAGGTTTTGGAGAAAGATAATAAGTTCAGATTTGGACGTTTTTAAGGACATCCAGTTTAAAATGTCTAAAATAGGCAGTTAGAGATGCAAGACTGGAGGTCAGGATAGAGGTTAAGGCTAGGCAAATAGATCTGAGGATAATCTGCATACAGATAATAACTGAAACTACAGAAGTCAAAGCGATCACCAAGTGAAATAACAGAGTGAGAATAGAAAAGAATCTAGAACCAGACCTCAGGGGACCCTCAATATTAAAAGGCAAGCGAGTGGTAACCTAGTCTTTGTTTGAAAATCTCAAGAGATGGAGAGGCCACTACCTCCTGAAAAAGTCCATTATCTCCAAGATAAATCTTATTTTTAAAAATTCATTATTTATTTATTTTTTAACATTCTTTTTAAGAAAATTTTGAGTTCTGAATTCTCTCCCTTGCTCCCTCCACCTTCCATTGTGAAGGCAAGAAATGTGACATCAATTATATGTGAAAAATCATGTAAAACATATTTCCATATTAGCCATGTTGCACAAAAAAGCAAGAAAAATAAAGAAACTGGAAAATTAGACTTCAATTTGCATTCAAACTCCATCACTTCTTTCTCTGGAGGTAGATAGTATTTTCTATCACAGGTCCTTCAGAATTATCTTGGATCATTGATCAATTGGATCAATAGATCAGAATAGCTAAGTCATTCACAGTTGATCATCATACATTACTTCTGTTACTATATATAATACTGTTACTATATATAATATTCGACTATATATAATATTTTTTCTGAAAGCATTCTGCTCATCATTTTTTTTTTTTTTTGGTGAGGCAATTGGGATTGAATGACTTGCTCAGGGTTACAATAGCTAGTAAGTATCATGTGTCTGAGGCCAGATTTGAACTCAGGTCCTCCTGACTCCAGGGCCAGTGCTCTATCCACTGTGCCACCTAGCTGCCCCCTCATCATTTCCTATAGCACAATAGTATTCCATCACAATCATATGCCACAACTTGTTCAGTCATTCCCCAATTGATGGGCATCACCTCAATTTCCAATTCTTTGCCACCACAAAAAGAGCTGCTATAAATAATTTTTATACATGTAGATCCTTCCTTCTTCTATGATCTATTTGGGATAGTGACCTTGTAGTGGTAGTGCTGGGTCAAAGGATATGAACAGTTTCATAGTCCTTTGGGCATAGTTCCAAATTGCTCTCCAGAATGGTTGGGTCAGTTCACAACTCCACCAACAATGCATTAGTGTTCTGATTTTCCCATATCTACTATAACATTTGTTATTTTCCTTTTCTGCCATATTAGTCAATCTGATAGGTATGAGGTGGTACCTCAGAGTTGTTTTCGTTTACATTTGTCTAATCAATTTTAAGTTTGAGCATTTTTATATATGATTGTACATAGTTCTGGTTTCTTCTTCTGAAAACTGCCTGTTCATATCCTTTGATCATTTATCAATTGGACAATGAGTCATATTCTTATAAATTTAAACTTGCTATAAAGAATTTTCCCTAGTTTCCTGCTTTCCTTTTAATCTTGGCTTGGTTTTATTTGTGCAAACCCTTTTTAATTTCATGTAATCAAAATTATCTATTTTATATCTTGTGATTCTCTCTCTCATTTGGTCATAAATTCTTCCTTTCTCCATAGATCTGACAGGAAAACTATTCCTTGTTCCCCTAATTTGCTTATGATATCACCTGTTATGTCTAAATTATGTACCCATTTGGACCTTATCTTGTTATATAGTGTGAGATATTAGTCTATACATAGTGTCTGCCAAACTGTTTTCTAGTTTTCTCAGCAGTTTTTGTCAATTAGTGAGTTCTTGTCTCAAAATCTTGAATCTTTGCTTTTATCAAATACTAAATTACTATGGTTCAATTACTACTATATATTTTGTACCTTTTCTATTCTGCTAATCCACCACTCTATTTCTTAGTGAGTACCAGATTGTTTTTATGATTACCACTTTGAGAGCTGGTACTGCTTGGTCATCTTCCTTCACATATTTTTTTCCATTTATTCCCTTGATATTCTTGAGCTTTTGTCCTTCCAGATAAATTTTATTATTTTTTCTAGCTCTTTAAAATAATTTTTGGTAGTTTGATTGGTATATCACTGAATAAGTAAATTAATTTAGACAGAATTATCAATTTTATTATATTGGCTCGGTCTACCCATGAGCAATTAATATTTTTCCAGTTGTTTAGATCTGTCTTTATGTTCTGTGTTTTGTTTTGTTATTGTGTTCATACAGTTCTTAGGTTTGTCTAAGCAAGTAGACTCCCAAGTATTTTACATTATCTGCAGTTATTTTAAATAGAATTCTTTTTATCTCTTCCTGCTGGTTTTTGTTGGTAATATATAGAAATGCTGATGATTTATTTTATATACTGCAATTTTGCTAAAGTTTAATTGTTTCAATTAGTTTTTTAGTTGATTCTCTAGGATTCTCTAAGTATATCATCATATCATCTGCAAAGAGTGATAATTTTGTTTCCTTATTGACTATTCTGATTCCTTCAATTTCTTTTTCTTCTCATCACCATAGCTAACATTGCTAGTATAATATTGAATTGGTGATAATGGGCTTCCTTGTTTCACCCTTTATCTTATTGGGAAGGCTTCAAGCTAATCCCCAGTAAAGATAATGCCTGCTGACGGTTTTGGACAATACTAATTATTATTTGCAGGAAAACTCCATTTATTCTTATGCTTCCTAGTGTCTTTAATAGGAATGAATGTTGTATTTTGTTACAAGCTTTTCTGCATCTATTGAGATAAATCATATGATTTTTATCGTTTTTGTTATTGATATGGTCAATTATGCTCATAGTTTTCCTAATATTGAGCCCAGACCTATATTTCTGATATAAATCCCACCTGATCATAGTTATATGATATTCGTCATATATTTATATAATCTCCTTTCTATTACTTTATTTAAAATTTTTGCATCGATATTCATTAGGGAAATTTGTCTATAATTTTCTTTCTCTGTTTTTGCTTTTCTTTGTTTAGGTATCAACACCATATTTGTGTCATAAAAGGAATTTGATAGGACTCCTTAAGATAATTCTTATTGTTAGATTTCCCTAAAATGAAAAACTAAAGCTTAAAAAAACAAAAGAGAATAGCTTTAGAACTCAGGTCTCCAGACTCCCCATTAGAAAGGTTCTACTTCTCCACACTGCCTCTTTGCATTCATTCATTTGGACATTTATTATGCACATCTTATCTACAGAGAACTGGGGCTAGGGAAAAGGACCATAGGACTTAGAACTGAAAGGAGGCTTGGAGATCAGCAAGCTTTCCATTTTAAATACGGGAAAAAATAAAGCCCAAAGAAGGTACATGATTTGCCTGTGGTCATATAGGTAGCAACTCACAGAGAGTTGGGATTCTGACCCAGGACCTCTGCCTCCAAATTCATTGTTTTTTTCCAAGTATTTTGCTTACTCCTAAAATCCAGAACTGTCCCTGAGAAGTGAGGGTAAATTCACAATCGATTCTGGGTTTCCCTGTCGAGAGGCCTGGATGGGGAGGGAACTCTGAAGAATTGGCCATGACTAAGGGAGGACACTCATTTGGTAATCAAATCCATGGGATCATTTGTCCATCTGTCCTAAGGGTCAGAGGTTGGTCTGGAAGGCCTCCTGGAAGGGGGCCAGTGACCTCTGTCTTTACTCAACTCGGAGGAGGAGTAGGGTGGGAATGGAAGCAAGAGGAATTTGAGTCCTTGTTCCATCGTCTCATGGCACAGTGCAAGTCATATTGACTCTCTGGAAGTCTGGCCAAATTTGCAGCAGTTCTTGGGGCCAGAATTGGTGAACCAGGGCAAGTCGGTGGAAGGCACAGTATTCATACTGTAGTCGATACATCAGGAAGGCTTTGGGGGGAGAAGGGGTAGGCTTCACCCCCAGTCGCTGTAGGCACAAGCCCACAAACACATCCTCCAAGTAGATGACCTTGAGAGTCTGGGCCACAGCCAGGACCCTAAGGGCTAAAGATCCAGACAACACATAGCCAGGACCCCCACAGTAGGGGGGGTACCTGTCCGGCAAGTATAGCTCTGGAGGTATATACCACTTGTAAGCTGGATTCCGAAGAGGTCCTGTATTTCTGTAGATGTAACCTGTGATAAAGTCAGGCCGTGGGGGTCCATAGGGCTGAAGTACCTGCCGCACCAGAAAGCTAGGGTTTAGAAATACATCACCATCCACCTTGAGCACATACTGGGCACTGGGACAGTACCGGGCCATCCACTCCAGCCCCATGAGGACCTTGAGAGTCAAGTTGTTATATGTGTCCAGGAAGCCCATCTGAAGGAGATCCCCATGCTCCCTGTCCTCCTCCTCCAGGAGGGTATGAAGTTCCTTGGTGAAAAGGGGTGGGGGCAGGCCAAGAACAAAGAGGCGGCGAATGACCACATCAGGAACCAAGGTCTCATTGCCCCATGTTTGCCGGATGGCCTGGCGTGCCCCCACATCCTGGGGCCGAGTCATCACCAGCATGAGCAGGAAGGGGGCACCTCTGGGACCTTTACACTTATTAGGGTGGGTGAGTAGGAAAGGGTAGGGGTAAGGGTACTTCAGGTCCAAGGGGTGTGGTGTCCGAGCCTGCCACTCAAACTTCCTTAGAGGCAGACTCAAAGATCCCCTAGCTGGCTCCGTGGACACCAAGGGCTTCAAATCCATGGAGGGAGTCTGGAAATCTACAAACTGACCCCCCAGCAGTATCAGCAGCCCCCCAAAGGCTGTGCCCAGCAGAGCCCCCATCACCAGATGCCTCCTGATCAGCTTCATGGTGCCAAGGTTGTCCTGGGTAGGGAAGAGGAACAAGAGGCCTGGTCAGTGCTGGGTGCAGGGTTCCACACAACTTCATTTTCTGCTCAGCTATCCAGGCCCTTCCCCTCCCTCTGTGGGTCAGCTATTTCAGGGTGTGTGGGGCCCCCCGGATTTGTAGATCTGGGAACAACAGGAAAGATAAGGGCATTGGAATAAGGAAAAAGGCTCTCCCAGTCCACTTTGTGCTAGGCCAACTGCCAATTTAGTGCTGAAGGAACAGGAAGAAGGGCAGGTCAGGTTTAGGGGTAGGGAGTGGGAAGAGCCCTGAGCCGAGAGTTGAGAGCCCTGGGGTTTAGGTTCAGCTCTGCCACTGACTCGCCTTGGACAAGGGACTCCTCCTCTTGGGGCTTCAGTTTTCCCCATCTGTGAAATGAGGGGAGTTGACCCGAATGACTTCTAAGGTCCCTTCCAGCTATGAGAGTATGATTTTGTGAAATTGAAGGACTTGGGACCAGGAGACCCCACTTGAGTGACCAACCCCTGGTTGGGCAAAGAGATTTAGGGCAGAAAAGGACAGAGGCTGTCCCTGTGGACCCTTCAGAGAACTCTGGTGTGAAAAGCAGGAATCATTCGAATTTGCCCCATTTCTTACTTTGCTTTTGCCCCTCCTATCTAAAATTCTTCCTTCCTCCCAAACCCAGAACCAGCCACAGTCCCTGGGGCTCAAGTTCACCCCAGGGAGATGAGATCTAGCCCTGAAAAAGCCAAAGTCTTTCCTGAGAAAGGCCTCAGCCTTTCCCCCTACCCTACCCCATTAGCGTCTATCCTAGCCTGTTTCCTAGCGCTTCGGTTTCCCACGGGGTGATAGGAGACAGACTCTTGGGTTATTGCTCTGAAAAACCCAGAATCTGGGCTTTTGATGTCCTCCAAGCTCCCTCTCCCAGATTCCCCCCATGAGTCCCCTTCCCTCTAGCCCAGCAGGGTCCTCACCCTCTTATCTAGCCGAACGCTTGAGATGTGGTGTCACCAGGAGGACAACTCAGAGGGGACTGCTAGGCATCTGTCCAGGTAGGCACGGATATGGGAGGAGTGAGAAGGTGGGAGTGGGAGGGAACCTGCCTAGCTCTGAGCTCACTTGGAAATGTTGGGTGGGGCAGAGCACCCAAGCAACCAGCCAGCTTGGCCTTGCCTGGAGCTCAGCTGATTGGACATTGTCGGCAGGGGACCTAAGGTGGCTGCAGCAGCAGCAGTAGCAGTCAAAGCTGCTTTGGTTTGGGGGGAGGTGGTGTGGGGGAGAAGGGCTAAGGAGGGGTGAGATCAGGTACTGGGTCAGGGGCTGCCACAAAGGGAATGGGGAGAAAATAGAACCTGCTGTAATAATAATAATAATAACAATAACAGCCAATATTTACATAGTGCTTTAAGGCTAACAGAATGTTTAACCTACATTATCTCATTTTAATCTCAAAAAAACAAAACAATAACCCCTTTGAGGTAGGCATTATAGGGCCCACTAACCACATTTTGTGTGCAGAGGGGGAGGCATTCTAGCATCCCAAAGGAGTTGCTGCTGTGGCAATTTTCCACTCCTGTGCTGATGTACCTGTTCCTACCTGGGCACCAGAAAAGACAGGTAAGTTAGTACCAACATCTAGCCAGTCTGAACCTTCACCTCTCAGTTCATTGACCTTCTCCTCCATTTCGGCTCAGTCTAGGGTTTAAAATGTAAACTCATTCTCCACCGTGTCCTAAAAGTCTTCATGGAGTTTTAAGCTACTGAATCCTAAAGATAACACTTAAAATATGATATTTTATAAATCTATCTAACTTGACTTGTCTTTACCCCCCCCCCCCAATTCTCAGTAAGGTTCTTATTCCCTTCCCAACTTCTTGGGACACAAAAAGAAAACACACTCACACTTCGGTTTAAAATCTATTCATTTCATGAAAACAGATTTTTTTTTTTTAGACTAGAGTATAAAACTCCCAAGTGGCTGGCACCTTGCCCTTTTTGGGCAGAAGCAAATGGCATTAGGGACTATTTGTTTTTTTTTTTAAGTGATGAATTAAAATTAAAACAATGTCCTGTTCTAAAGTCCTTGGTCTCACTATCAATCAAAGATCTAATCAGCCTTCCAAGAACAGACACCTTTGAGTGAGTGATCTCAATTCTAAATCGTTAGAGAAAGTTTGTCTTGGGTATGTTATAGTAACTGGAGTGAGGGAGATGGGAAGGGAGGGGAGAAATGTCTTTTTGTTTAATCCAATTAAGAAATTTCCCTTTGTTTAATGTCAACCAGCTTGAAAGGGGAATTGTTAAAAAAAAAAAAAAGTTAAGTTGGTTTAAGGAAGATATTTTCTTCTTGGGTGTGCAGGCATTAAAGTTATTATTGTTCTCCAAATCCTAAACTTAAACTGGTTTTCTTGGCTGTGGAATTTCATCTTTTGTTTCACATCTCAGTTCACAATTTTATTTTCACCAAGGGAAAGCCACCTCCAACTGTTTGAAATGAGTCCTCAGCCACCACCCCCTCATCTCCCAATATGAAAGTCACAAAATTGGGAGGATGAGGAGACAGCATCATCACTCAGTGATGTTGAGCCCACTCTGACTCCTGGTAATAGGGCTGTCACTTTCTGGCAGACTGGCCAGTGAACCCTAGACCCAACAACTATAAGTTTTGGGGGTGCTCTCAGTGGCCTCCAATAAATCTCAGTCATGTCACAAGTTCGCTGTTAACACTATATCTCCAGTGGGCTTTTCCAGTGACCCAGAGCAGGAGTTGGCCATTTTTTTTTCTATAAAGGGCCAGATAGTAAATATTTAAAACCTTGCAGTCCAAGAGGCAAAATCGAGAGTTATATAGGTACTTATACAACAAAGGAGAAAACAAATTTCCATAAAATTTTTATTGACAAAATTCAGAATATAACAATAATAATGAAGTATAATTTTTTTAATGAAGATCTACCAATTGGAAGAATGGAATTCTTTTTTGGGGGGATAACACTTCACTTAAAGTTTTTTTTCAGTCATTAGTCACGTTTGATTCTTTGTGACTGTGTGGACCGTACTGTTCATGGGGTTTTCTTGGCAAAGACACTGGAGTGGTTTGCCATTTCCTACTCCAGTGGATTAAAGCAGAAGTTAAGTGACTTGCCCAGGGTCACACAGTTAGTAAGTGGCTGGAGCCAGATTTAAACTCAGATCCTCTTTCTAGGCTACCTAATTGCTCTTCACTTAAAGTTAGTGTTTCATATAATCAAAATTGATTGCAAATGTTCATCTGTTAATGTTGACTTGTAATGAATTTTAAGTTTCATCTGTGAAAATGGCCTTTCACACAGATAGGTACTGCCAAATACTGATATCAAACCATGTACCTATGGGGTTTTTGCTTGTTTGTTTTTGTTTGTTTTGTAATTTTCCTTTTTATTTAATTTAACTTATTTTTTGTTACAGTTTAAATTCTGAACTGTCTCCCTCCCTTCCTCCCCACTCCACACTAGAGAAGATCACCATTTGACAGATAGATAGATGGATAGATAGATAGACAGATAGATGGATGGATGGATGGACAGATAGGTAAAACTGTATTATACATACATCTGTTTTTCAGTTCTTTCTCTAGGGTGGATAACATCTTCCTTCATAGGTCCTTTATAGTTGATTTGAGTATAATACTCAAAACAACTTAGTTATTCACAGTTGTTCTTTGACTAATATTGCTGTTACTGCACATAATATTCCCTTGGTTCTGCTCATTTCATTCTTCATTACTTCATGCACATCTTGCCATGTTTTTCTAAGGGGATATAATTTTAAGTGAACACATTCATAGTGACATACAGTGCCCTAAGGATTAAGAGAATATTAATGTTGCTTTTCCAGTACTTTGTGAAACCACAGTTTATTCTGTAACTTGAAAGGCATCCTAAAGTGCTTTCCCCCTTATCTTGAACCAGTACCAAAAGAATTGCTTTTGTGTTCCTTAGCCTTTTGCTCCCCCTGTCCTTTAATTTTTAACCTGAGCCTTCAAGCCCTATAAGCCATAAAAATGCCCTTCATCTCCCTCATCCTATGTCATAAAATCCTTTCTTGACCAGTCTGTAATCTTTAACCTTTAACCCCCATAAACTTCTAAAATTGTCTTGTAAGCAACCATCTTCCTCATCCTGTCCCTACAAAACTATCCCTGTCTCTCTTTAAGTTGCTGGTCCTCTTTCCAGAGCTAGCCTGCTGCTTTTGCATCAGTAAAACTCCCAATGGTTAACGAAAAGGTCTAAGTGGATATATATACGCAATGACATTTCAAAAGGGAGAGAGCTCAAATGACTGGGGAAGTGGGGAGGGAAGATGGTTAAGAAAGCTCTAGTGCTTCAAAGTGGCAGAACTGTGGGCTCCCCTTTGATCTGGGATTCTTGCCTTGGTTATTCCTCTACAGGCTGGCTAAATGCTGAAAGCGAGATGCTTGAGGTCTGAGCTACGGCCCTGCTGCTACTGCTGCTATCTTCTGAACTTCCTCCTTTCTTGGTGCATTTCCCAATACCTCCCTTCCAGGAAGATCAGTGCTGTGCAAAGGTCCCCTGCTTACTTTATGATGAATTACAAGCAGAAACTAGATAATGGGTTAAAGTCCCAGTGTGGGTTTGGGGTGCCTCAGTATAAATCTGGGGCCTCCTTTTGTGCTGGTGTACTGCCTCTCCCTGCATACTACAGGGCCCCAGGTCACGCGCTCCTGCCCCAACCGATTCCCAGGTGTCTGCAGCCCTTTGTCTCTCTTTGCTGATCTGGGCCAGACAAAGGTCTCACTGTGACTTTTTCTGACGGTCTCCATCAGGATTCAGTCTGATGCATTTTATAGATCTATTTGAAAGAGGCTGTGATCTGACTTTCAGCTGCATTGCTTCCTTCTACTCCACCATCCTGACTCTGCCCTTTCTTCCTTCTTCCTCAGAAAAGGTACCTGAAATACAAAATAAACATCAGACATAGAATAGCTACTTATTTCCTCTACTGTGAAAGAAATGGACAAGTCATAGAAGGCTCATTAGTGCATCCTAACATTATTTTTACACAAGTACATATTTATTTACATATTTATAAACAGGTGAACACAAAGCATATACAATGACATTTCAAAAGTGAGAGAGCTCAAATGACTGGGGAGGTGGGGAGAGAAGATGGTTAAGAAAGGTCTCATCTCTCACAGCCATTCTGCTGTAGAAATCCTAACTGATCTTTAAAGGCTGGGCTCAAATGTCACTTCCTCCATGAAGCCTGCCCTGATTCCTCATGCTAAGAATATCCCAATCCTTCTTTCCACAGACCCCTCTGTGGTTTACATTTCTTAGGGTGCTTTACCTTTGTGGTCCCTTTGGCCCTTGTCATTTTGAATCACACTTACATATCAGACTAACATGAGTACTTAAAACATAAAACAATAATCTGCCAACATCATTATAAACTCACTATAAAGTAAAATCATTCTGTGGGCCTGCTGAATAGACATCTCACTTTCAATTCAGGCTTGCACATGGTCCAGATACAGTACCCAGCCAGACATAGCTTTTTAGTGTTTTGGGTTCAGGATAATTTTGTGTTCATCTCCTACAAGAAGTGAGTGGCTTCAAGAAACTTTCCCTCTCTCCCTCACTCTGGGAAACCAGTACTGCTTCAGGGAACCAGGAACTTCAACTCATTTGGTGATCACCAGGGTTGGAGGCATCCATCTATCAAGCAGATTGTTTGGTCATCAGTGCTCAGTGAAAGAAACAAAAACCAGAAGAGGAGACCAGGGACTTGGAGTCCAGTCTTAGGACCACTAAGGAAAAGTATATAGTCTCATTGCCAAGTGCTTGTAGCTACCATTGCTGCTGGGGGGTTGGATGGAAAGAGAATTACACCCCTCTTCTCTTAACTGCAAGGGGAGAGCTTGACTGAGTCCCAAAGTGGGAAACTCAAAAGAGGGAGGGAGGAAGAGAAACAGAGAGAGAGAGAGAGAGAGAGAGAGAGAGAGAGAGAGAGAGAGAGAGAGAGAATTCAGTCACCGGTTATCTT